CGCGATGGCGGCCGCAGGGCGGCTGCTGCAGCCCCGCCGCGAGCCGCCGGGGGCGCTGCGGCGCCGGGCGGGAGGGCGGCGCTGATTGGCTGCCGGCGCGGCTATATAAAAGAGGCGCAGGCGGTGCCCGGATCTCTTCCGCCGCCATTTTCTGCCGGGCGCAGGTCTCCGCTGTCTCCGCCGCTCGCACGAGCACCCCCCCCCGCCCTCGCCCCGCCATGGAGGACGCGACCGAGATGAGCGGCGGCCAGGAGGAGTTCGCCGAGGGCTCCAAGATCAACGCGAGCAAGAACCAGCAGGACGACGGGTAGGGCCGGGGACGTGGTGGGGGGAGGTGTGGGGGAGTCCCGCGTCCATCTCCGCGCCCGCCCCGCGGCCCGGGGGGGCGGCTCGGTGTCTGGGCGCAGCGCGGCCTTCCCTTCCCGCAGCACGGCCGCGCCCGCCTTTGTGTCCCGGGCGGGTGACCCAGTTTCCGCGGGGCGGGGACACGGACGGGGGGGCCGAGCAGGGCCGTGACGTCACCGGCAGCCTGTGGGGGCGCGGGGGGGCTCTCCCGGCGCTCCCTCACCCGTATCCGCACGCGTTTCCTGCCCTCCAGGAAAATGTTCATCGGAGGCCTCAGCTGGGACACCAGCAAGAAGGACCTGACGGAGTATCTCTCGCGGTTTGGCGAGGTTGTGGATTGCACGATCAAAACAGACCCGGTCACTGGAAGGTCGAGGGGGTTTGGGTTCGTGCTCTTCAAGGATGCTGCCAGCGTGGAGAAGGTGGGTGCTTTGCCTGCGGACCCATGGCACGGAGCCAGCTTGTGTAGCTGCAGCGATCTGAGACTTTGTTCCTCTGTTCGCTCTTTAGGTGTTGGAACTGAAGGAACACAAACTGGATGGCAAGTTAATAGATCCTAAAAGGGCAAAAGCGCTGAAAGGGAAGGAGCCACCCAAAAAAGTGTTTGTTGGTGGGCTGAGTCCAGATACATCTGAAGAACAGATTAAGGAGTACTTTGGTGCTTTTGGCGAGGTATAGTATATTGGCATATAAGAACACCTCTAATTCTCAAGTGTAGTCTTGCCTCTCTCTTAAGAAAGAATTTGTGAGGAGGGAGTTGGCCAAAACCAGATCTAACTAGATCTTTAATCTATATGTTAATGATTTCATAAAGTTGTAGTGGTCTGCTTTATAGCTGCCAGAAGTAGTCAGTGTAGATTCTGCACTGCCAGATGGTTCTGGTAGCATAAAGAGTTGCTTACAGATTTCACTCATTGTTTATATTAATTTTGATTTCAGATTGAAAACATTGAACTTCCCATGGACACAAAGACGAATGAAAGGAGGGGCTTCTGTTTTATCACATACACAGATGAAGAGCCAGTAAAGAAGTTACTAGAGAGCAGATACCACCAGATTGGTTCAGGCAAGGTGGGAAAACTCGTATTCTTAGCATGTGAAATCTATCTCTAGGTTTCTCTGAAAGCAACTGACGAAATGCTCTTGGAATTCTTAGTGAATGAAAGGCTTTCTGTCCTTACAGTGTGAAATCAAAGTAGCACAGCCGAAAGAGGTGTACAGGCAGCAGCAGCAGCAGCAGAAAGGAGGGAAAAGCAATTCTTCTGGTGGACGTGGAGGCGGAAGGGGGCGTGGACGGGGTGAGTATTTTCAGTGGTTCTGTTTATTTAAGTACTTACCAAACACTCAGGTGTTTGTAGATGTTCTAGGTTGCAGGCTGTGTGCAGATCTCATGTTTAAATCAAATGTGTAAAGTAGCCCGTTAGTAAGTGGTGGTTGTGGTTGAAGCTGGAGAACCTCCTCTTGCTGTGCTTGCATTCAAGTGATGAAGGTGAAAGGTGGATGTGGGGTGCTTTTGTACACCCTTAGTGGGCAGTGCAGCCAGCACAGTTACACTTTCACTTGAAAGGGATACACTTAATTGGCCATGGGCGAGAAACCAGGAGCTGTTTGCTAACGAGTGGGCTGGTCACTGCTGCACCTTCAAATGGATCAGAAGGAATCAGCTGGTATGTTACAGGTCAAGCAGACACAACTCACACCACGCAGCAGGGCTTGTCCTGTGGTGTCACTTGGTGCTCAGGCAATTACTGATTATTTTCATATCCAAAAAATGAGATGAAGGGGCACAGGAGAGGTGTGAAGTAAGTTTTGAAACTTACAGTTGCTATGCTTGGTTTCAGGTCAGGGACAAAACTGGAACCAAGGATTTAATAACTATTATGATCAAGGCTATGGGAATTACAATAGCGCTTACAGTGATCAGAGCTACAGTGGCTATGGAGGCTACGACTACTCTGGGTACAACTATCCCAACTATGGATATGGGCCGGGATACACAGATTACAGTGGTGAGTGGTTTTGCCCTCATTCCCGATAACAAGAGCAGTATGCTCTCAGTCAGCCCATGGCTCTAAAGAGGAGATCCCTTGGTGCGCTGCTGTGTGTGAAGTCTCCCTCTGAGGCTGGTGTTAACGCTCGTGGGTTCTGTTTTTCCCCACATGCTACCTCCAGGCCAACAGAGCACGTATGGGAAGGCGTCCCGTGGCGGCGGCAACCACCAAAACAACTACCAGCCCTACTAAGGCAGTGCCTAGTGCCTGACAGACAGGTGTGTACAGGAGCGCGAGCTCCACTCCCACTATGTCTAATCTAATTTAAAGATCAATAGACAAACGAAGAGTAAAAACTTGCCTAGCATGACTTTTCCTTTAATTAAGCTTTCGTTAACTTAAAAAATACTTTTTTTTTTAAAACCAGCTTTGCCTACGTGTCTATAGATCTTTAACTTTGTAAAAGCGTGACTTTATCTTCTTTAGTACTTCAGAAAAACATAAGAGTTTTTCTGGTTTGCGTTGTGTACCAGGTGGTCTAGAGGAATAATTAAACTTATTAGAAGTATTAACAGGTAAAGTACTGAAATGGGTACAACTTAAGGAAAACAAGAATGTTGTCTTCTAACTCTGACATTATACCTTGTTTGTACCCGCCAGCGGGAACTTCATTGCAGGCCGTGTGTCACCCTGACCACGTCTATCTCTGGGGTCGCACGTTGCAGGCAGAGCGCAAGGCATACACCAGAAAACGCTGTCCTGTGGTATGGTCTCTTCCAACTTCATGTACCAGCGTAAAGATTAAAGTGGAAAACTTCAGACTTTGGCTTCTTTTTTTAATCTTTTTTGGAGATTAAGTGTCTTTAACTTAAATGGTTTTTTACAGGAGTTAAAGTACATAAATGCCTTTACAGCTTAATCATTTGGTCTTCTGTTTAGTGTTGTATTTCAATTGTGGAACCTCATTTTAAATGTGCATTCTTTAAGATTTTAATGCTTGCTTTTTTCTTTTTATAGCTAATAGTGAAATCTGCAAACCAAAACGAACTTTTAAATCTGGATAAACATTAAAGATCATATGCATATGGACTGTCTGAACTAAAGTGACCTGACTTGTGTTGCACATAAGTCGTTTAGTTGTATAAACAAATAATCAGAAAGCCTTTTGGCAGTGTTTCCAATGGAAAAGAAAGTGATCCAGAGCCTGCTTACTTGTCTAAATTGGATGGTTGTTGTTTCAGAGCAGCCTCCTAGTTGGGCTGAATATTTGGGAAAGTAAGTTACTGATGGGTAACTAAACAAACCTCTTGTGTTACATTAATAAATATGCATATGATCTTTAACAGTGAAGAAAGGAATATATAGAAGACTTAAAGCAGTTCATGAAAATGGACCTTTTAACAATCCTGTAGTAACTGTCACAGATCTGACATGCATTTTGTCTTCATTTTTTAGGTAAGAGATACTGCGACAAAAAGCCATCTTGCAACGCATCGTGAGTGAATGGAGGGTGGTCTTCGTGAGAGGAAATGACTATTTTGTAAAAGACTTTTAGTGTATGACACAACTGTGTCCAACTGTACATAGCGGCCGACTAGTTTTCTTTTATGGTTTTTACTTTCTTTTTGCCATTCATGTTATGACACAATGTGGACTTGTGTTTATACAAACTTTATTTGTATAATTTCATGTTAAAAGATTCTCTAATAAATGCTTACTTAAGTGAGTGTGGAGTCTTACTGTCACTTTAAAGTGGTGTAGCTGTAATTTTACTGGGATAGAAGGACAGGTATCTCTCTGGAGATCAAGGTTACTGTGAGAACAGGTCCATACACCCCCTTCTTCCTCCTGATCTGTCCTGAGAGCACCAGAGTGCTTGGAATTAGCATAACTGGAAGATGGCAGAGTCATGTCCTGCCCCCTGCAGCAGTGAGGAGAGTGGTCTGGCACAACGCTGCCAGTTTTGCACATCTCAGGAGGGATCTAGAACTATAGCAGCTCCTTTTCAATGCTGATGGCACTGCTTGAGGAGTTGGAGCTTTTCAAAGCTTCTCAAGCACTTAAAACTTCCAAGTATTCTAGAATGTAGCTTAATTACTTTCCCACACCACTTCTACTCCAATTCCAAGTAGGCGTTCAAAAGTTCTTGAACTTCAGGATCAGCAACTATTTTCTGTACAACTTGGTACAAGTTAGGTGCTGTACTGGATGCTTCTCACCTGGATCAGAAAACAGGTTTGTAGTACACACTAGCGAGCACCAACAAAAAGCCTGTGTGCCTGATTGCTGGAGAAGGAACACTGCATCAATCCAGCATGTGTCCATTTAGGAGAGGGGTTGGGATGGGTAAAGGAGCGTGTGTGTTTTGTCTGACACAAAAGAATTGTGGCAGTCTGCTTGAAGATTTGATGTTTCCCAGCACAACTACCTAGTCAAGCATAAAAATAAACCTTGCTTGTTAAAACTCACTGATGTCGCTGACTACAAACAAGAATCAGCAAGAAGCCACAGCAGTGTGTGAGTTCATACATTTCATTTGTGAGTGCAGCTGGATCCACAGCCCTCCACAGCACACAAGGGGCTGAGGGAGACCTGTGCCAGAAGAACATGGTTTCATTACTCCAGTGGTTTGTTAATACACAAAACCCTGCTAAGAGCCAAGTTTTACTTCAATCTGCGATCCTCCCACTCGGCACTAGTGAAGTGCAGCTGGAGTATCGTGTGCAGGTCTGGGCTCCTCAGCACAGGAAAGGCAAGGGGCTCCAGGGAAGGGCCACAAAGACGATGGCTGGAGCATCTCTCTCCTGAGGAGAGGCTGTGGGAGCTGGGCCTGTTTAGCCTGAAGACTGAAGGGATCTCACCATGCACAGCAATATCTCAAAGGCAGGTGCCAAGAGGATAGTGCCTGACACTTTTCAGTGCTGCCCAGTGACAGGACAAGGACCAACGACCACAAACCCAAACACAAGCTCCACTTCACCACGAGGAAGGACTTCTTGCGTGGAGGGCGGCAGAGCACTGGAACAGCTGCCCAGGGAGGTTGAGTCCCCCGTCTCTGGAGCCATTCCAAACCCACCCCGACCTGTTCCTCTGGTCCTGCCTTGGGCGGGGGGTTCAACTGTATTCTCTCCAGAGGCCCAGTCCAGCCCTATCGATTCCGATTGTCCATGTGGGCCCCCCGGGCTCCGGCGGCTCCCGGGGCAGTGCCGAGCTCCCCCCGCGCTCCCTCACGGCTCCCCGGGGGCGGTGTCACGTGTCCCGCCCGCCGCGCTCCTTCCGGCCGCCATTTTAGGTTGGGTCGGTGGCGGCGCCATTAAAAACAGGGAGCAAGAGGAGGAGGGATCGGCGGGATCGGCGCGCTCGGCCGGGGCCGCCAGCGGGGCCGGGGCCTCGGCGGGGAGGCGGCAGCACCGGGGGTGGCCGGTGCGGGGCGGCGGCGGCGCCATGTCGGATCAGCAGTTCGCTCTGGACTCGGCGGCGGTAGCGGCTGGCGCCGGGGGCAGCGCGGCGGAGCCGGCGGAGCAGCCTGAGGGGCAGGCGGGGGCGGGGAGCACCGATGGGGGAGGCGGCGGCGGCGGCGGGGTCGAGTCGGAGGGAGCCAAGATCGACGCCAGCAAGAACGAGGAGGACGAGGGGTGAGCGGCGGGGGCGGGTTGTGTGTCCCGGGCGGGGCCCGGCGCCCCCGGCCCGGCCGGCCCCGGCCGCTGCCCTGTTTGTTTACTTGGCGCCTCGGCGACGTCACGGGCCGAGCGGCGGGGGCGGTGTCTGGTCCCGCGATGCACAGACGGTGTGATGTGCCTCAAACTAGAGGCCCCTTTTACTTATTTTTCCTTTTAACGACACCTTTTCTACGAGTTAAAGTGCGGTGCGTGCGTGGAGGCAGTGACTCGGTGTAGCCGAACGCTCTGGTTGCAGTCGCAGCATTGCCCTGTGCTGCTAACATTACTGTGTGTTAGCTGAGTGCCAGAGGCGTCAGCTACCGGGACTTCTTCCCAGCCTAAAACATGCCCCTGCTTGTCACGGAACTTGCTTCGAGGGGCTTGTGTGAGGTGGTGTCCGAACTTGAGAAGTAGGAGTAGAAAAGGCAGGAAGCTCAGCCGGGGGAGGTTCAGGTTATGCATCAGGAAAAGGTTTTTCACCTAGAGGGTGGTTGGGCAATAGAACAGGGAAGTGGTTACAGCACCAAGTCTGACAGAGTTCAAGAAGCACTTGGAAAATGTTCTCAGGCACATGGTGTGACTCTTGGGGTGTTCTGTGCAGGGCTGGGACTTGGACTTGGTGATTCTGATAGGTCCCTTCCAACTCAGCATGTTCTATTACTTTGTTTTATGGCGAGTAAAGACAGCTTTTAATCTTTATACGGTCTCTGCCTGGGGCAGTGTCCCTTTTCTATTGCCGGTGAAATTAGTGTGTAATAAATCCAGTGACAGGACAGGCTGTTGCACTCTGCTGTCTCCTGTCGGGCCGTGAAACTCGAGCTGCAGGTCTGTTTTTGGTCAAGGCAGAAAATAAACTGGATAAAGGAGTGCTAACTACTGTGTCCTGCAGATACCTGCTGTAAAACCTTCCTGTCTTCCTCTTTCAGTAATAACCTGGGATGTTGCTGAGAGAGATGTTGTTAATCTGGGATAATGCAGAGAGAGAGAGAGCAGGAACCCTTTTTTGAGTATTTTGCCGGGATTTAAATTAATTAAAATGGTTTTGTTGCTTTTCAGCTGTTCTTAACAGCTTCAACTGCCTTTGGAGTTTGCATGTTTGTTTTACTTAGTACCCTTGAATACACACCAATTAAAGGGTTTTCATGTGCAAACTCAGGTTCTTTCGAGGCAAGAGAGTTTAGAAGAAGTGGTCTCTAAGCCGTGCAGTGGTACCGGGCAGTGACCACATGTATCACACATTGACTTGTAGTCTGGTTCAGTCTTTTAGACCTGTCACCTCTTGTCTTGACAGCACTTCTGGTAGTAAAGGGAGAAAAGCCGATCTGTGATACCTTGTTTAGCTAAGTCTGAGGTTTGAAAGCTTTCCCCAGCGCACTTCTGGTAACTTATTTTGGGAAACTATATGTGCTGATGTGGCTTAGACCAGCCAGACTGTGGGCTAGGAAATGTATGTTACAAGCTTTTGGCAGCACTGTGCCACTGCTCCTGAATTGTGCTCATGTTTGTGGTGTGGCCCTGACCTGAGCTCAGTTTCCCTTGGAGCAGTAGTTGATGTCGGGGCAGACTGAAGCAGCTGTGCTTTGCTGCTCTGTGGCCGGGCTCAAAGGCGCAGTTCCTGCGTGGAGAGGTGAAAAACCTTCCAAGGCTGTTGGTTTCAAGCTCACGTTCTTGGTCTGCCTGTCCTTAGGGACAAAAGCAGGGTCTGTATGTTAATGTGGAGACAGGTGGTTTGGGTAGCAAGTGTCAGTTCAGTAGTGACTGCTAGGGCATCACTACCCCCCATGTGTCAGAAACACCATGCTGCATCCTCTGTGTCTTCTGTTCGGCTGCTTGAAAAGCCCTCCACAGAACAGCAAACAAGCTAAGGACCTTAACGATGGGTGAGCAAAGGGCAGAAAGCTCCTTTGATTTACTGCCTGTACTGGTGTGAGGCTGCTGGTTTACCAGGGTGGGCCATTTCTTCCAGGAGGACGCTAAGAAGTCACAGCTGATAGAAAGGTACTCTCTGTTGGTACTTTGTTGAAGAGAGATCTGGAACTAATTGGAAAAGTGGATAAAGGGATGGGGAATTGGTGCTCCTTCTTTACAGATTTGGAGACTTGTTATAAAAACATCTGAAGCTCCTGAAGATGTTATAAAAACATCTGAGGCTCTGAATCCCTCATCTGTATGGATTTTGTCAGAAACTGAATGCTCTTGTTAATTCTCTGCAGGCACAGTTAAGTCAACAGAGGTAGTTCAAAGGAGCAGCTTTTGATTCCAGAGAGTTTGAGTTGTGGAGGTACAAGGAGGTACAATGCTCTTTTACGTGATTGGCAGGAATATTTGTGCGTGGGAAGTGGAAGGGTTGGAAACATGATACAGTGGTTTTTCAGGTTTTCTGATAACTGTGTCTGGTTGTGAAATAAGTTGGAACCGTGAAAATGGGCAAAGCTTTGTAGAAAGTGCTTTTATAGATCATAATGGATCATATTTTTTGGTTAGAGCTCATGGTAAAATCTTTATCAGTATTAGAAGAGATCATCTCAAATCAAATCCTCTTTTGAATGGGTTCCTAAGCCCTATGCCTAATAACCTGGAAATTTCATTTGTGTGTATACTGGCTTGATTTTTCATCTTTTAAAATTATTTTTTTAATGCCTTACTAACATGGTGGGATGGTCATGATTTGATTCTAAGCTTCCAGTGTGCTTTTGAAAATACAGGTTATGAATTATGTGCTGTACACATCTGCCCAGCAACACTGGTGCTGCAGAAATATTGGAAAGACATTCTCTTGATGTTAATGGATTGTGCCAGGTGTTTTTGTAAAGTTTTCATGGGGAAAGAACTTCTGAGCATCCAATACTTTGCTTTTTCATAACTGCTTTGTGGGGAAGGGAACTTGACTAAACTTTATTTATTTTAGTTTATTAATTTGGGCATGTGTCCAGTTCAGACTGGTGGATAAATGCTTCTGTTTTAACCACACGTTGTTACAAATCTAATCTGCCTACATGTATTTCAGTTGTGTGGAGGCTCCACATATAACTGGATGGAATTAAACGTGTGATGGGGACGTAAAGACGTAGTAAAATATCTTTTTGTCACTACTACCAGTGGTTCCTTGGGACAGCAGAGCAAGCAGCTGCAGGAGAAGGCAGTGCAAAATGTTTGTGTATTGGAAGTCTTTATCTGTCCTGGCCAGACTCGCTTAAGCAAGTTGTCAAAAAGTGCAGGCCTGTGTGTGTAGTGACATGACTGATAAAAGCATGAGGGTATTGAGCTCATGAAGCTTGGCAGTGCAGGATTTTGGGTAACACACATTTACAGATTGACCAACTTGTCTTAACAGGAAAATGTTCATTGGTGGCCTTAGCTGGGACACAACGAAGAAGGATCTGAAGGACTACTTCTCCAAGTTCGGTGAAGTTGTGGACTGCACTCTGAAGTTGGACCCCATCACTGGGAGATCGAGAGGCTTCGGCTTTGTGCTCTTCAAAGAGTCTGAGAGTGTGGATAAGGTAGGATTAAAGTAATGAAACAAGTTCAGATTCAGGTATCAGAGATAAAGCACTCCCTAGGATGACTGTAGGCGTTCTTACATCTTCTGGTAAAGATGATTCAGGGGTGCAGCATGTTTAATGTGCTTGTTGAAAATGCTTTCTTTTATGAACCATCTTACTCATGTTGCTGTGTCCAGGACCAGCAGGGATTCCTGAGGTATGGATTTGGGCACTTAGAGGTTCTTCAAGTCATTGGACTTGGGCACTTGAACAATAGAGTCTGTAAATGTCTGCTGCCTGCTGCTGTGAAAGCAGCATTTGCAAAGATCTTCTGTTCTTTGCATTCCAGAGCTGTACCATGAATCCCTAGAGGACAGCCAATAGCTTTGATACATTTAAGCTCTAGCCAAGCAAAAATTACTTGTTAACTTTTGTAAAATGCTGTGGATACAGCACACAGAAAAGTTTTCGCCTTCATGGCCTTTGTGATATTTAAAGTACAGATTTTTTACTTCATAAGGTTTGAGGATGAGAAGAGTACTTTTTGAGAGATGTTACACTCTTGCTTCTGCTGGGTAATAAGTGGTTCCAGATGTCAGAACTGTCTGTGTCAGTGGATAGTGATCAAAAATCACAGAATTTTGTTTTTGTGCAACAAATTATTGGTGTGATCCACGTACTGAAATTGAAGCAATTTTAGCCTTACTCAAAACAGTGAAACATTTAGCTTGATCTGTGTAAAACTGTGTTTAATTATCCTCAGGTCATGGACCAGAAAGAACACAAGCTGAACGGAAAGGTCATTGATCCAAAAAGAGCTAAAGCCATGAAAACAAAAGAACCCGTTAAAAAGATTTTTGTTGGGGGCTTATCTCCAGACACACCTGAGGAGAAAATACGGGAATATTTTGGAGGTTTTGGTGAGGTATGTAGTGAAACAAAGTGCTTTTACTTGTGGAGCCTGTTCTATCTTCACAAATTTATTAATAGAAAGCATCCCCCGCATGCAGACTGCGTGGATGCTAATGTGAGCTTTCTGGCCATTGTAGTTCCATGTGTGCGAGTGGTCCGAATGTTGATGTTTCAGCTCAGAGTTACAGGCTCTGAGTTGATGATGGAAGGGGAAGGGATAAGTCAGAGAGGGAGGCAGTGTTTCTAGCAGGGTGCTTTGGTCAGTTGCATGGGATGCTCTTCAGCCACTCCAGCTCATCTCCTATAGCACAGATTGAGACAGTTTTGCCTAAATTCTGTACAACTGTGTAATCTCTGTCCCCAGTTTTTGGTGGTGCAGATGAGCTGAGTATCACTGAAGTTTTTAAAAGCTGGTCTTGAATGAACTTGCTACAGCTGCTGCTCCCCTGTTGGTATCAGATGGTGCCAGCTTCAGGTCATAACTCTGTTCAGGGAGTTTGGTTGCTAAATATGTGCACTGTTCCAAACTTACAGACTGTTTGCCTAGGAAGTCCCATGTGCTACAGTGAACTTTGACTCTGTATTTGTAGTCAGGTCACATTGTCATATTCAAATCCAAATAATTTCAGTTAGCAGGAATGACCTGTTAGAGGGATTTTGCAGTGACATGAATGTCAGGATAAAAGGTAAAATCATTGTCTTCCACCAGGTTGAATCCATAGAGCTCCCCATGGACAACAAAACTAACAAGAGGCGTGGATTTTGCTTCATTACTTTCAAGGAAGAGGACCCAGTGAAGAAAATAATGGAAAAGAAATACCACAATGTTGGGCTTAGTAAAGTAGGTGGATTCTTTTTCCTAGAGAAACTGAACCATGACAGTAGATAGAATTACATTGCCAGTTGCAGCTGTTTGGGGATAATAGTCTGCCAATACCTGTAAACATTATTTTTCACATGTAGGCATTGGGCCTGTGAAGTATTTATGTGGGTGACTGTTACCTTAATTTCTGAGCTGAGAGGTTTCAGGTGAGGTTTTGTACTGCACCCCCATGGGGGGGGAGAGGGCTGGGCCCCAGCACACTTTCCATCGTGCAGCTCCCACATTCTCTGGCAGCGTGGGCAGAGTGCTGTTTCACTGATCTGCTCTATCAGGCAGCACCAGCTTTTCTTGGTAGCTGGATCTTTGTGTATGCGTTCGTTGTTATCAGCAAATGTCAGTTTGTCTTCGAGAGCTTCCAAAACTGAAATGAAATGGGAAGTTAGCCTTCCCTGTTAGAAGTTGCATTCCTTTCAGAAACCTGGTTGAATTTCAACCTGGTAGCATATACTCAAATTGTAGCTGGACGGGTACTTGCACAAGTACGTGGTGGAAATCTTCAGAACGGAGTTGAGTTGAGTTTAGCATGTTGGCCAAACTCGGGTTTGATTTCACTTTTCCCAAATGAATAGGCCTCAGAGGTTTAGTTCAAAGGGAAAGCAGAAAGGCATACAAAGAAACAAGCATTCTTTTCAGAATGGGTTCTACTGTGTCTCACAACTGTTCCCAAGTTAGACAGTGTATGCTGTCCATTTTTTTTTTCAGGGAGGGCACCAGGGTGACCAAATCCAGTTTTCTGCTTAGTGTTCTGTAAGTTTGAGTGATGTTTGGGGATTATCTTTGCTGATTGGATCTCACTCTTAACTTTCCATTTCCAGTGTGAAATAAAAGTAGCCATGTCAAAGGAACAGTACCAGCAGCAGCAGCAGTGGGGGAGTCGGGGAGGATTTGTTGGAAGAGCTCGAGGGAGAGGTGGAGGTAAGTTTGTACTGCTGCAATGTTGGAAGGTGAGAGAATGAATGAGGTGAGCCTGAATGAAAATAAGTCTGAGCTTTGTGTTGCAGGCCCCAGTCAAAGCTGGAACCAGGGATACAGCAACTACTGGAATCAGGGGTATGGGAACTATGGTTACAACAGCCAAGGTTATGGAGGTTATGGAGGATATGACTACACTGGTTACAACAACTACTATGGATACGGCGACTATAGCAGTAAGTACTGAACTGCTTACAAAAAGTTCCAGTCTTGCTTGTAAGAAAATGGCTGCTAGCAGTGTAAAAGATAGATGGCTTTAAAACACAGTGGCTTAGGCTTTCCACTGAGTTATCAGTATTGGTGCTGGGCACAGGGTCCTTGGACACTCCTCTGTCCCTGCTTTTCTGCTTCGCTCTGCCAGGTGTGCATGGTTGTGAGGCAGCACTGCAGTGCTGCTGCAAAGTCCCGTGTCTTTCCCTTGGGTGGGAGTGTTGCCTCTCCTGGTCGTTCTGGAAGGCGCCCCTCCGGTCCCGTAGTTTGGCAGCACTTTTGGTAGGTGAGAGGGAGAGAGCCCCACCTCAGCCGCCCTGCCGACTGTTTGGGTTCCTGAAGCAGCTCTCTTGGCCAAGAAGAGAGCGTGAATTTGAAGGCTGCAGTGATCTCGTGAGTGAGTGAGTGAACTCTCCAT